ATATTCCCTCGGACTTGCGAAGGATAAGGTTGTGAAGTCTGGAGGTATGGAATTAACATTTTTCACTAGAAGATCTGGAAGACCTATGTCTACCGGTTTTCATTTGCTATTAAATCAACTTTGAATATGTACACATACTGATATTTATTCACAGATTATGTTACCCTCTCACCCCATTACTGCATGACCCATGAGTGAGTCAACATATCCAGAACCGCTACTCATTGATTCTAATAATATCTAGCAATTCTTGGCCCGTCGCAACCAAATTCATGTCCATTGGTGCAACCAAAATTCACAATACTAATCAAATTGTTTGCACTCTCGATCACGATGTACAGAACAAAAGCGAAACGAACCTTAAGAAGTACAAGCAAATTGAGGAATTTGCACGCCAGCAAGGTGTGGACTTTTACCCCGCAGGACGAGGAATTGGACATCAGATTATGGTAGAGGAAGGATATGCTTGGCCCGGAACTGTCACTGTCGCTTCAGACAGTCATAGTAACATGTATGGTGGTATTGGATGCTTGGGCACACCTATGGTACGAACAGATGCCGCAAGTATCTGGGCAACAGGACGAACCTGGTGGCAGATTCCACCAATTGCTAAAGTCACCCTCACTGGAGTTTTACCAATCGGAGTCACAGGGAAAGATGTCATTGTTGCACTTTGCGGTCTATTTAACAGTGATGACGTCCTCAACCACGCTATCGAATTCACGGGATCGGAACAAACAATGCGCAGTCTACCCATCGATGATAGACTTACTATTGCCAACATGACAACAGAATGGGGTGCTTTATCAGGTTTGTTTCCAATTGATTCGGTCCTCGAGAAATGGTTGAGATATAAGGCTACCACAAGTGCAATGTTTGCCCCAAACAACGGCAAAGAACCCCGATTCACACATGCTCGCATCGATGACTTGGTTGAAAACCAACTTGTAGCAGATAAGGGAGCTACCTACGCCAAATCTTTGTACCTCAACCTTTCGACTCTCTCTCCTTATGTTGCTGGTCCTAACAGTGTCAAAATCGCCACACCCATCCGCGATTTGGAAGCGCAAAAGATCAAACTCAACAAGGCATACCTCGTATCATGTACCAACTCTCGTGCTTCTGATCTTGCTGCTGCTGCCAAGGTTTTCAAGGATGCTGCTGAGTCTTCCCCCGATAAGACTATTCCCAAAATTCCCGAAGGTGTCAATTTCTATATCGCTGCTGCTTCTATTCCCGAGCAAGAAGCTGCCGAAGAAGCAGGTGACTGGCAAGCACTTCTCGCAGCTGGTGCACAACCTTTGCCATCAGGATGTGGCCCATGTATCGGACTCGGTACTGGTTTATTAGAACCAGGCGAGGTTGGTATCAGCGCAAGTAATCGAAACTTCAAGGGACGCATGGGATCGACCGACGCAAAGGCATATCTGGCTAGTCCCGAGGTCGTCGCTGCCAGCGCTCTTAGTGGCTATATTTCAGGTCCCGGATGGTACCAGCCACCGATTGGTGTGAACAAGGTTGTTCTTGGGGAAGGTAATGGAAATGTCGAAGAAGATAAAGCTATCAGCATCGAGGAAGCACTTGAGAAACTTATCTCACAAGCAGAGTCGATCGTTGATGGAGCTGAGTCTAGTCTCTTTGGTACTTCCTCAAAGCCCGAAGAAATTGATTCCGAATCATTGACAGAGATTCTTCCTGGTTTCCCAGAAAAGGTTGAGGGTGAGATTGTTTTCTGTGACGCTGATAACGTCAACACAGATGCTATCTATCCAGGCAAATATACATATCAAGATGGTGTCTCGGTTGAGAAGATGGCTGAAGTATGCATGGAGAACTACGATAAAGAATTCCGCACGATCGCTCGTGAAGGTGACATCCTAGTCTCCGGCTTTAACTTTGGTTGTGGCAGTTCTAGAGAACAGGCTGCTACTGCCATCCTCGCCAAGAAGATTCCCATGGTAGTTGCTGGAAGCTTTGGAAACATTTTCTCCAGGAACAGCATTAACAATGCTTTGATGGGAGTCGAGGTTCCAAGATTAGTACAAAGACTCAGGGAGCACTTTGCTGCTTCTGCACCAGTGCCAAAGAAAGAGGTCACAGAGCCAAGTGAGAATAACGAAAGTCTTGACTCGCCAAAGCCAGCTGAACAAGCTGTGCCACAAGGAGAGAAGATCTTAACTAGAAGAACTGGATGGAAGTTTGTATGGGACGTTAGACGAAGCAAGGTCGAGGTACAGGAAGGTGAAGGTGGTGAGAAATGGAGTCAGAAGGTTGGAGAGTTACCACCCAATGTGCAAGAAATCATTGCCAGAGGAGGTTTGGAAAAATGGGTTAAGGGAGAGCTCGCGAAAAACTAAAAAAGGTTCTCTTGAATTGGGATTTAGACCTGTAAACGCCATGTACACTTGTTAACTGATGAATCAAATACATCAAAATATCTCAGTAGAGGCTGGCTGATTATTCATAAGACGAAGATATTGGAAATGTATCAACAGAAGGAAAATACCTCACAAGGTATATAAGAGTGAATGAGACAAGGCTCAGGTATTGGCCAGTAATAAAGTGCCTACTAGATAGTCAGGTAATTCACATTCCCAAAATTGAGTGTTGAGAAAGAGTGAATGAAGAGTTTAAAGCAATGGATGTTTCCTCTTCTCAATTAATTATTACTGAGAGCCCGGGTCTTTAACAAGAAAGACACTTTCATTTGCTTACAACCCAAGATATTCCAATCAATCGTCGTCCGTTCAAGATTCTGTCCTTCCACAAATCTTCTCTCGAGCTTCAGAGTTAGGAAACGTCTCTTCCAAAAGACTCACCAGACTCAAACAACAGTCAAAAAAACAGAATCAGCAGTCATCATGTTTCCCTCGTGGTGGATCGCTTTCCTTTTACTCCTTGAATTTGCAATTGGCCAAATAAATATTGAAACCTTGGTTCCAGAAACACTGGTAACCTTATCAGCATCAGATGATACTCAAACCACAACCGCAATCCAGACTCTGATTCCCTTACTAGCCGATACTTCCGCAGCTCCCAGCTCTCCATCTACAACAGAGCTCCCATTCCCGTCTTCTTTAACACAAACATTACGCAGTCTTAGTGAAAATGATTCCCAAGTCACTTCAACCACTTCCAGCACAATCAAGATTCAGACTTCAGTTCCGTCCTTGAGTACTCAAGCCTCCCCAAAGGAAACAGGATTCAGCACACCAGACCAGTTCAAGATCCAGATTCTCAACGCTCAAAATTGGTATAGAGCTGCACATGGAGCACTGCCTTTTGTTTGGAATGATACACTGGCTGATTCCAGTTCAAATTGGGTCGCAGGATGTGTATGGAATCCTGAGGTATGTTTTCTATTGATGCGGCGCATCTATACTTTTAGTTATACTCATACGTCGGCTGTTATACTTACTTACGTCTGAAATCACAGTCAACTCCTGGCATAGGAAAATCATTTGTATCTGTTATACCCACCAGTGTCTTCGGAATCGTCAACTACTTAGGATTGGAACGCCAATTTTATAATTGGTCAGAACCAGGACCGACAAATTCTACAAAACAATTTACGCAGATGGTGTGGAAAAGCACGACGTCCGTTGGTTGTGCTTGGAATAATTGCCGTAAGTTCTCCTGGTTAGCTTGTATCATAATGGAATAATTGTTCTATTTGTGCTTGAAATCTAAGAATCAACTGCCTAGTCAAACGGAAGAATAATAAGCTAACATAAACTTCTATCCTAGCACCTGGTTCATCACCAGACCCCGCTACACCTGGAGTTTCCCTGTTTCTCCTATGTCAATACTATCCCAAAGGCAACCAGGGGACTACCACAGACTGGGAAAATAATGTGGGAGAGCTAGGATCTGGAAGTTTAGGGGAAGGTGTCATTGCTGCTGATGGTTTTGGGCTGAGTAATCCAAACACTACAACTACTGCAAGCAGCGGGATAAGTGGAGCCGGTGCATCAAGTACAACAAGTAGTTTTTCCACAGCTGCTACCGGAAAAGATGTTGAGAGTCTGGCTAAAAAGCTGGATCACGATCTGTTTACGATGGTTATCAGCTCGGCTATTGTCATGGTTTACTTGTCTGGTGTCCTTTCGCTTTGATACCTCTGTTTTTCGTTGTTGGCTTCGCAGATGCATAGCCTGGATTGGATATCTCTTCTTACACAATGGAAACCGATAACATGGACTTGGTATCCAAGGTGATCAATATGCACACCGATTAGTAATTATCCCCCGCTAGCAGAGACTGGGTTTAGTCCACCTACACAATTTCAAGCCTCGATGCCAGAGGCATAAATAGTATAAAATTACAATCAATGCTAAGCCAGTTGTGTGGAATGAACGTCTCGTTGCTGACAGTGAAGCTTGGGCAAATAGTGTCTTCAAGTTTTGCCTTCTCATATGCAACGTAACACTCATGAAGTATATTTCCACTTTTTGGCACCGAAGCTGGATTGTGCATGATGAAGTCTACCCCAGCTAATGGAAATACCACATACAAGACTGTAAAAAGAAATTGCCCCTTTGATATTGTTAATACTTGAGCGGAACAGTCTGGTTATTTTCAAGCAGGCGATGGTATTACATGGAACACAACAGATTTCGCTCATATGGCGTGGAAAGATAGCATATAATTTAGATATGTCTATAAAAATGGTCGCAAATTTCTTGTTCCCATCTAGATAGATTTCAAGCCTCTCATTCATAACTAACATCCTGATGCGTGTTCATGAGTGAAAAATAAGACCCTTGAACCTTCCAAGTTTGAATAGATGCTTGGATATGAAGTCGAATTTAGCCATCGGAGCTTGACCAACATGTACCAACAAGTTAGCTTGGCATCTATGACATGTCAGTATCTTGCATCAGGAAATGAACTGGGTATCTTTCGCCACTATTCACAATGAGCGGGTGATATTGTAAAAGTTGGTCCTGAATATAGACAGATCGATATTGAGATTTTTTGGTAAGATTCATTGCTATTAACTTTTGCGAGTCACTGCTCAATGTGTCCCACGATTGAGCTTTGCTAAAATGTCAATTTTCCCTTCCCGATAGTGAAATGAGTAAATCCCCAATCTGACATTTCATTCCTCAATGTAAGGAAAGAAATCTCAAATTTGGATTTGCAGAAGGTAATCCCACGCCGTTCCATCCTTGCGCCATCATAAATAACTCCTAATGGCAATTCGAGACCACTGTCATGAGATAGTTGTCCTGTCCCTTCCCATCCTGTCTTCCGTCAAACAATCACCAGTCCGTTCACATTCGTCTAAAATCCCAAATATTTATTTCCGATCTCGACAGCCTTTTCAACACCAGCTCCCTTCTCACTTTCAACAACAAATTTGCTCAAGCCCATAGCTCTCAATCCCTCTTCACCGGTCCAGGATTCAACTTCTTCGAGACCTGGTCGACCAATGTGCTCACTCTCGCCCTTTCCACCTGGGAAATCTGGGCCTGGAACGCCGGAGAGAAAGGTATCGCGTTGACGGGCGAGTGCTTCGGCATTGATAGGAGTGAGAGGGCAGGCGGGAATATAGAGGACGGAACTGTCAGATTTACCAGCATGAGTTTTGTCTACGGCGTGGATCACTATTAAAGTAACACAATTAGTCAATGCAACTGCAAATATGATAAGAAATTTCGTGAGATAGAGAACTTACTATCACAGTGCCAAGCAACGTAGTCACCTGGGTTAATCTTAGGAATATGAACCATGGTATTCTTCAGATCCAGATGTGGGTGAAGTTTTTCGGTCATCTCCTGTCCATGACTTGGAGTAGCACCATGAAGAGCAGTGCTCATTTGATCAGTTGGGATCAATTTCCAATTCTCGGGACTGAGATACTCCGCAGTATACTTGTCTTCCTTTCCCTCCGGCAATTCTTTAATAGGCTCAAAGAAAGGTCGGAGCAAGAAGTAAGCGGTGGAAAGCTTGATAAGTGGATTGACCTTCAATGTGCCTTCTCCAGGCGCAGTGCGGGACATGCCGAGCCAGGCCTGGAACATACGAAACATGGAGCAGCTTCCTCCACCATGATAGAGATCGCTAACAGCGGATACACGTGATGAAGACTCGAAAGGATCAAATTCTTCCCACTTTCCTTGGAAGATAGCGTCATATACTCCGTTGATACCATAGCCATTGGGTTCCCAGCGTTCAACAGATCCGCCATCGGCGTGAGGACCAAGAGCAAAGATAGCATCACCAGGTTGACGGATGCGAACACGGTCAGCGTAGGTGAGTGGTTGAGAAAAGGAAATTGGTGAGTTGGGATCGGCGGAGTGCCAGAGATTGAGCAGGAACTTTTGGGCAATGATCATGTTAGGATGACCACGAGCTTTAACTTGTGGTGGTGACCAGTAGAGCTCGTAGACTTGTGGATCATTGGCTGGGAAGCCTGTTTTTGTCAGCTTTGTTCAACCGTGATTGCTTGCTTGATATTCGAGAGGAAGATTGCCAATTAAATTTGGGGAAACCTGGATGGAAGGAAGTTTAGAATAAAACCATAAAGATAACTTACCCTTAGTACTAGGATTCAACTTGACATAATCTTCGACCTCTTGCTTATAACGTCTCGCAGTTGTCTCATCCATGACGCCCCTAATAACAAGTGCACCCTTATCTCTCATATCTTTCAACTGCTGCTCACTTACGTTCTTCTCATGAACATCCTTGAAAGTCACACTTGGGATTATGCTCGGGCCCAATTCCGCGACCTTTCGATTCTCAATCGCAAGTTGCTCAATAAGGCGAGTGAAAGATGCTTGAACGGCCTCCTCGTGGCCACGGATAAGGTTGCGCTTGATATCAGCAAAACGTTCCGGAAGTGGTGTAGGCTTGGCGCCAGAGAGTGAGACGAAGACCGAAGATATATCGCCCTCCTTCTTTGGGTTTATGGCATTCATAGAAGACATGCTGATTGATTTAGCTTGTGTTGCGAGGGTGCGAATTGCGAACTTGGGTTTGTGGTTGACAAGAGAGGATTTATGGATGGTAAAGTTGGGTTTGTATTTGAGAAGAGAAGATGTTTGGCGGCATGAGGAGACGAGGCGCGTGTGAGACAACATGGAGACGAATGCGAACTTGTGACTATACTATGAGACTTGTATGAGTAGTGAATGCTCTTTATGCCGAGAATCTGGACTGAATATCAGGTACAGAGAGGTTCTGAAGTGAATGTCTCGAATACTTCGAAACCAACAGAGATTTTGTATGGGTGCTTGCAATCGCTTATAAATGAAAGTTTATGTAAAGATTATTTGGTCTATGTAATGAAGCCTTTCATGAACGTCTTCCTAAATATAAAGAAATGTATTCAAAACGCCAGTACAATTCATGCAAATTGGCAAATCTCACGTAGCACGAATTGCTTTGGCGGCATGTCCAATTCGAGAAGTCCGATGACCGCGGTGTGGCTGTGGTAAGGTTAGTGCGTATAATATTCAGGAACCTGCCCAGGTGTGCACAGACAACGAATTTTGATGGCGGGGTAGCATGAAATTGAATTTAGAAGGTTTCCCGGGCAATTTCCATAATGAAGCTTGGGCACCGGTAGGTAGGTATGATTTGATAACGGTGACGGTGGCGGTGATGACAATAGTCTCTTAGAAATTCGCTTCGAAAATGTGACATTAAAAGGTAAATTAACTGAGGCTTGAACTGCATCCGATCCCGTCTCCTCATATATCACCCTACTTAAATTAATCAAGCAGACTTAATAAGCCGGGGTGAATTGTCAGTATGGTAGTTCTCTCACTGCATACATTCACTATATAGAAATAGTTGCCCACCATGATATGTTTGATATTCCTGTCAAAACGTGTGAACAAGAACAGCCAATAATGGGACAAGAGCCACAGCGACCCGAATTCGAGGTAGTGCAACAAACCAGGTGTGTACGAAGCAAGTTCGCATCCACTCGTGCCCCAAAATTCTGATTATCATGTTGTGCTGCTCTATTCATTTAGTTTCTAAGGGTGCTGCAGGAGTCGAGCTTTAGTAGAACGTCAGAATACTTGGCTAACATTGGGGGAAGGTCAATTGAGCTTTCGATGGACATTTTTGGATTGGGACGATGGGAGGCAAAGTGCTTGTAATTACTTAGATAAAAAGATCTGGCAACAAGTATCGATCCACACGGGCAAAATGGTGCCAGGAGTGTGTGCATTTGGCCATTGATCAAACGTAAATTGAGCCCACCGTTTCCAAGTGGTGGAGTTCGTGACAAACAACCCATCAACTTCGCCATGCCCCTTCAAGTACTGATTCCGGAAGATTCGGCTTTCAGCACGATGCATTGCGGAGGAATATGAATCAACGGCAAGCGTCTGAGCTTTTGTTGGACTTCAAAACACCAACGCGGCTCTACTTACATGCTTCAAGCGTAGGAAAGAAAGCAGTGGGCGAATTGCGATACAAGCTACATGACAAAACCAGACTTATAAGTTAGAAGGCAGTTATTGAGCAGCTTGTGGACACTTCCACGTACTTGATTACAGAAATCACAACGTGCATAGCTCATACATTCGGCCAATCGTGCAGCTGCGCTCTCCCAGACTTTTCACATATTCAGATTCCTGCCCGCAAAAGTTCTGCTGAAGACATGAGCCATTTGCCCCACTAAACACCAAGATATCATATCAAGACCCGTCCTCGATCAAACCTTGTGTTGAGATGCTGTCACCCTTTCAAACTATTTCATGCACATCGTGCAGATGACTTAACGAGTGCGAAAGGTTGAGAGATGGTATCGGTCTGCTTGTTTCGAGTAGTTAGGTAATGAAATTGTTCCATTGTATACTCTGATGTCAAATGAGAAGGCGAGCCTTATGTAGGTAGCAATTAGATTCCCGAGATCCGTTCGCAGAATATATGGCGTCAATGTGCGACACGCAGTTGTTGACGCTGCTCACAAACGTCGCCTTGGTGGTTCTTGATTGTCGCGATGGTGAGATAGAAATGATTGAAGTGGCACGCCATGGCTGAAACACATTTGGTATTGTAGTCGAATACTTAGATGTTAGTATCCCGTCAATAGACGGTCAATAGACGGGTTTAGATTTCACAATCAAAAGTTCGTTCGAAACTCAATATCTTGTTTTAGAACAGGTATTAATGATATATATTTCGTCCAGAATCCTCTGGTGCTCGGTCCGAACTTGATTATGTAAGGTTTTTTTTTGCACTGCATGATTATACCTACCCACCTTGATATGAACAGCTCAGCTCAGCTCAGCAACCTTTGCAGCAATCATCGGTCGTACAAAAACTTTCTTCAGAGCCCTTCCGTCTGGATGATTGAGCCTTAAGGACGATTTGGTGATCTGCCCAGAACACTGAAGGATGTTATTTAGACCCAGCGCAAGATTACGTTATGTGGCCTCGGAATTCGATTTTTCCCTCAACAGATATCTGACCTCAAGGTATCATTTCATCGCCAGCTTTGAAGCAGAATATTAAGAGTCCTATGGGCCTTTCTTGTGTCTTGATAGAAAAATAAATGTTGTACCAAGAGCTAAACGTATCTGGAAACTCCGCTCACGATTAAGGTGGATCTTCAATCTTTCCACGTCTCTATTGCCTGTCTCCGAAGATTTCCCCTCTGTCTTCATCCGAGGTGCTGGCAGCATAGTGGAAAGTTTACTACATACTCTTGTCGTGCAAGATCACACGGCCATCTGAAAGACTTCAAGAACCTTTATTTCAAGGCTGCTGGAAGAGATTGGTCCACTTTATTTTGCATTTGACCTTGGCCGTTGGACTTTCTCATCTATAAAAAACAACAGGATGAGATCATCATAGGCGCTCCTATCTGCAACTGCTTGGTTTAATGATCCCGGAAGAAGTTAAATCCGCCAGATGAATCACCTCCGACAGAAATTGCACTCGCCACACCACACTCCGACACAATGTTTAAATTTGTAGCTTCCGATGGGACTGGATCCATCAAGAGGCACCAGGCGCAAAAGGCATGTGACTCCTGCAGAAAGCGGAAGAAGCGATGTAACCATGGTAGTAATGCAGTTTTAACGAATTCTTCGCCTGTGAGAGCATCTAGCCAAGTCAACTCTGATGAACGGGTTTCTCAACCAGCCAAGCCATATACTGCAAGTATCCTCTCTTGTACCACGGATGCCGGATATCAAAGCACAACGTCTCATGAGGAGCCTGGCCATATCTCTCCTGTTGCATCAACTTTAGTAAGTAGTGATCAAGACCTTGAAGCTGCTAGGATATTGAGCGGCGGTACTCGTACTCAAGCAAACACGTCTCACTCCCAAGAACCTACTGGTGTTCAGTCTCGATTCATTGGAGATTTGAACCCAGAATCAATTTTTCTGGCTGCTACCAGTCCAGATGCTATTCGTGGCGTATTACCGGACAGCGTTGGAGTATACCTCTCTTCAACACTTGGGAAAAAGCCTCACCATTTCTCGAATTTACAACAGACAAGCTCAAACTTATTCTATGGATGTCCGCCTTTGGTCCGTAATGTTCTGGCGCCTCTCATAGAACAGGAGTGTCTATCTACAATGCCACCTATACCCCATCTTGAAGCGTTATCTCGGATATACTTTGAGAAGATTAACACCATCTTTCCCATCATCAATGAGACCACGTTCCGCAATCTAGCCCCTTCAGTCCCTTGTCGAGCTTTATTGGAACAAGCCATTTGCCTGGCAGCATCCAAAAGTTTCGCTGCTGCGGATCATCTCATATTGGACGAAGCAGGCTCCCCGATGACCTGCAAAGCGTTCGGCGAAAAGGTGTCCGGTGCAATGAGGTTGACCATTGAGCTAGGCATTGTGACCGACAAAATTGTCCTGATCCAAGCCCTCTGTCTCCTCTCTCTATTCATCGATAATTCTAGCAGTGAGGATCTTGCATCTCAATTCTCTGGAAAAGCTACTCATTACCTTGAAGGTATGGGATTACATCTCGAAGGTCAGGTGGAGGATGCAAGTGCAAAGCTTCTATGTTGCGTATATGCGTTAGATCGCATGAATGCTGCATTCCATGGCCGCCCTGTCTTTATGCATGAACGAGACATGAGGAGAGACCTTCACCAATGCTTTAATCAGCAAGAACCTTCCTTCCGTCTATTCATGAAGATAATAGCACTACTTGACGACGTTATCGAGATATATCGACCACCAAACCAATCAGAACAAGGTAGTATGGATGTCCGATTCCCTGCTTTTGAAGAGTTGGTTCTGGATTGCGCGGCTGCACATATTGGTACTTCCTCTCTTGGTATGTTATCCTCTAATCACCTTACTTCTCCTGCTGGGGTTTCCGATATTCCGGGCATTAGTCCAATAATCTGAGTGGTCTAAGTCCTTATTTCGTTCGAAATATTGAGTTCTTGTGAGATCATAAAATCGTCTTGGATGTTCTGGAGTGGTTGAAATTTGCGTACCTCATGACTGCTTGAACGATTTGATTTCGAATCAACGCTGATCATTGAATGATACACAAACTTTCAAACTAACTCTACCACTCGGGAATATTTAATTGTTGTATTAAGTTTCGTTCATGATTAGTGTTTACTTTGAATGATATTTTTACTCATGTAGTGTCCAGCAACGATTGAAATCTTCTATCACAGCATCTCTATTATCTCTCACCGATCCCATATTTGGTCCGAACCCAAGCGTTCCACACCCTCTTACCTTCGACAAGCCCTCTCAACCAGTATTCTCTCATCGACCACTCCTCACGAGCTACAGGATCAACTTGTTCTATTTCCTTTCGTACCATACGCCATATCGCTTTCTCTGAGCATTGCCTATCGAGAAATGCGCCACAACAAACTACCTGTTCATCGGATGCGCGCTCGAGGTCAATTCCAAGCTAGTTGTAGGCTTTTGGAAGGCCTTGAAAGTCAGTACTCTACTGCTGCTAATGCTGCAAATATGGGAAAGAAAATGCTCAGGGAAATTGATCGAGTATTTTCTACCGTCTCTTCGGAAAATAAAACTACGGCGCCACAGCAAGATATCAGCAATACCACCGAGAATAGCTCAATGGTCAATGATCACAGTACTTTAGTAACAAATACTGAGAATCGTAAGTCCTACACTTTTCATTTCTATATGATCTGTTTCTGCTATGAGTATTCCTCCCCCAACATGTTAGGTAGTTCAGTTGGTTTGTTGTTTCGCACAAACCCAATATTCAGAATGAATCCAGTAGAATTTTATCATCTTTCAAATGAGTTCAATGTCAGAATACATTTCAATCCTCGAATCTGACCTTCAAAATAGAATCCATTGCGTCTGCCTCCAACGCTCAAGTTACTCCGTCTATCGCTCCAGTATATACTGGCATGCAAGACTTTGACCCATCACTCTTCGACCTTAATGCTACGGGTGATATTGATCTCTTCTCTATGTTCGACCCTTCCTTTGATCTTGTCGGCTTCGACGCATGCCTGGAAGGCAATCTAAACCTGGGATTTCCCACCCCAGCACCTCATCCCTAACAAAACTTAATCTCTAATTTGATGGCTGATGAATATCTTGAGGCTCATATCTGCCGAAACGAGATCGGACAGGTCAAACTATAATCCGACGATAAAATCTCGCATTTCTGAATCTAGATACGGCGCTCTGGCTGTCCAAGATGGTACCTTAGTTCTAGACAATCTGTTTATTGCATTCTAAAATTCTTGCTCAAGCTGAAAATTTTGTATATAATATTATGCTACTTGTCAGTGCGGATTATGAATCACATTGATGGGTAGCGAATTTGCTCGCTGGGCATGGTGACAGTATAGGGCCTATACTATCTTGTTTGTACGTAATTGAAGACCGTTGCAATGTGGTGTTCTAAAGACAGCTCCTAAACGGTATCAAATATGAGGGGGTGGTTATGTAGATATCGAGAGACCAGTATATTTATGGAATGTATCCAAAGAGCATGACAAGATCATATTTGCTCCTGAAATATCGCTTTTGATGCTCCCCCTCATTGAGTCTGGCGATGGTTAGAAGACACTATTTTACAGGATCCAAACTTGCTTGTGTTCTTGCCACGTCTGTGTATTGGCAATCTTTTTGATGCTGTAAAGGAGTGAAGGACAATTCACATGGTGTTGATCCGCTCATCATGTGAAATCACGTTGGCTTATGTAATTGATCACGTATTTTCATCACCTTCCTATCTTGACCATCCTTGCATTGAAGTGAGGGAACGACAGTTGATAGACAGCATCTTCATCGAATGTCTTCCTCGCAAACATGAATAGATTTCTGACCTCAAATTGCTCAATGCCTCCAAACATGGTTGCAAGATATGGTATCTATCATGTCGTGCATCCAAGCTGCTTCCTTCCATGGTCGATCTGATGGTAGTTGCAGGAGACTTGGAATCTGTCTGACGACTATTCTTTTGATGCCTACCTACCCCATTCAAGACTTTTGAGAACAAGAAATATGGTTCTAGTCTTTCTATCTTTGCCACTCTCGATGGACAAGGCTACAAGACGCCGAGACTCTATTTCGATCATCAACCGAAGCTTTTATCCAACAGACATACCACGGGAAATTGTTAAAAGCGATGCGATATCGTATATGCACCAGACCGTTCGATTGTGGATGCAAAACAGCACTCTGTCGTTGCCATTCGATTAAGCCCGGTGAATGGTGTCTTGCAACAATGGTCAAAATACTCAATTGGATGATCCGTCATACGTGGTTATTGAAGCAGTAATCGCTATTCATTTTTATCCCTACCGGCTTCACAGAGCAGAGAGCCCAAAGGTTCCATATCAAAATAGCTAAGGTTTTATTGGATTTTCGATTCGACATTTCAACACACATTTCAGAGCTGGATGAAAGGAAGTCTGGCTTATTCTTTAGTGGAAGCCAATAAAGCTATTCAAATGGAATCTTGCGCCATCATTCGTTACAAACGAAAAGCCATGATATGCCAAAACTTCATTCAATTTCAATAGAAGAGAAGCTAATCCAAAGCGGTCGCGTGCCAAGTTGCGATGAATACGATGCATGGCCTTGCCGAAGCTCCTCGTGAGATTTCTAGATTCTTTTTTCGTTCTACGTCTTACCGATGCGCATCCCAAGGATTCAGAAGCCTGACTTGGAGTTTCACAAAACGATGTAAGGGATACGAATTATCTAAGATTGCATAGGTGTAGGCACTAAAATATCAGTGTTCGGTGTCAGCGGGGCTTGTGAGAAGGTGGGACTACACTCGAGGATTTGGTCGACTTGGCACTGAGGTCGACGCCTTCTCGTGATTCAAATACTCATGGCTGGAGTTATTTTTCTAGTAAGCAGTGGCTTTTCTAGCAGGTTCAAACGCACAAATACTATTTACACGGATTTCAGCTGTTCATTGGTATCTTGAATGGCCGCATGTCAACGACTTTTCTTCGAGGCTTACAATTTGAATGAGAAAGCCCCGAAATCAATGCCATGATATATCATTTGACCTTCGTTTTTACGAGCTCTAAGAATCACCAGTTATCATGACATATCAAGCGTTGGCGGTGGCTGAGCTCTGCCGATCAACCACACCACTAAGTTAGCTGCATTAATTAATTATGCATGCATTGCGATCTGTTGCACAAAGAGAAATCGAGATGAATAGGCTCTAGAGTTTGAAAAATGCGATAGATTTAATTGGTCTAGCCGACGAAGAGATACTTTCAATTTTTGCCTCTTATCCTCCAAATCCGCCATTCCTGAAATTTAACACCTAGAGTTTACTTGCAGCGGGTCCAAACCCGTCAATCCATTCACAACCGCACTGTCCACTGGTCGCATTGTACACAGGATGTTTCTCGGCAATACAAAGAATATCGGGGCATGTCTCGACAGGCTTGACGGTGTCCTTTGGTTCGAGACCTGGAATCCATTCGCATTCGCATAGACCAGTCGTTGCATTAATAGCGGGGTGCATCTCCGAAATGCAGAAGATACCGACGCATGGATCTATTGGCTCAAGGGGTGGCTCGAGTCCATCGATCCATTGACAGGTGCATTTACCTGTCTTTGCATCATACACGGGATGCTTCTCGGAAATGCAGACTGTACCAGAGCAAGTCTCATCCCTGATAGGCGTTGTCGGACTGTTTGGTTCCAACCCTGGGATCCATTGACAGGAGCATGAGTTGCTCGCTGAATTGTATGTGGGCCTTTGCTCCGCAATGCAGAAAAGGTCAGGACAGTCAGGGTCGCATTGGCACTTCTTGGTTTCGGGGTGATATACACGATGATTTCCTTCAACACACTTAAGGAGTGGACAAGTTGGAGGGACAGGATTATCAAGTTCGCAAGTGCATTTCTTCGCATAGGGTTTGAGAACTTGGTGGGCACCGCCGGCGCAGAAGATTATATTTGGGCATACGGGAGCGTTTGGCTCACAAGTACATCGCTTGGTCTCAGGATGGTATACAGGGTGAGTGGTGGATGCACACCGAATCGTTGGGCACGTAGCAGGATCGACTTCTCTAATCTTATTGCGCTCGCATTTGCAGGTTGAACTTTTAGGATGCCAAACAGGGTGAGATCCAACCAAACACGTTGTCGCAGTAAGGCAAGTAGTCTCGGTCTGGTCAGGTACGCAAGAACATGTCTCGGTCGTAGAGTCCCATAATGGATGATGTGCGGTAATGCAATTTGTTGTTGTGTAACAAATCTTCTCCCCGCCATCTAGTTTGCACGAGCAAACCTTTGTTTCGGGGTTCCAAAACAAGTGGGTTCCAGGGATACAAAAAATCTTGGGACATCTTGCAGGACTATCCGCTCTTGCCTCTATGAAAGATTAGATGATTATTATGGAGACCATTTAAGAGTACGTACCGACTGCGGATCCCGGAGCTGCTAGTACACCACTCAGCCCTACGGCGAGAAAATACAACAAAGATGTTGAGCGCATCTTTTCAATGGTTAAGAGAGCCAAGATTTGGGATAGACTAGAAAGTTTTCAGATCTTGAAGAGGTAGGTCCAAAAGTATGAGTTTGAACTCTTAGATACTGGATTGTTCGACCTTCGTTGTCTCCTTATATAATAGTTTGACTGTACCACAATACTTACCACATTAACTTTGAGGTAGCTGATCTCAGCAAGAAAAATACAAATACGGTCCTCTTGGCAGCTCAAGAATGCTAAGACGCCAAGCCCGAGTTGTGCGGAACAGCGTCCATTCAACTACCCCGCATCCGCCAAGATGTAAGGGGCCGGGATATAATTCCTGTCAGGAGAGAAGTACATTCCATTATGTCACGAATCGAGAAATGGGTGATAAGTTGGAACCCAGGATGACACGAGGGTTTGAAATTTACAGCTGGAAGAGGTTCTTCACATCGCTGTGCGTCAGATCCCAGCAAAACTTGTGCTCCGCGATGAGGCTAGATTCTGATATGGATCATCAGCATAAAGAATGCTTGAAATGTCTCACACCTTACCTACATCTTACGATAGATAGAGTTCGATTTCTAGCCAAATCCTCGGCCTGATGAGAATTTTCGTCTACATTGTGGCTGTTGCTCGTTTTTTGACCACTCATCTCTTCTGTTGTATAATTTTTTAAGTCGCACGTGTATCTTCAATGACATGAGATCATGATCTCCCATTTCTTGGCCTTTTCAGCATCCATTTGATAAAGGGTTTGTGACGTCTATCGGCAGGTCATCCGGCTTGCGTCTATCTTGCATATTCGGTTAACGGAGCACGTTTTAAAATTAGGCAAAATGAGCTCGGATATGCAGCCGTGAGAAATTTTCAAGCTCAATGGCATCTCATAACGTTTCGCTATGGTTCCTCGGCTTAAGTAGCCATTAGACTAGGATATCAAAGTTCATTTACATGGACCGAAAGGTTATCGTAGTTTCTCTAAATCACAAATCTATGTACACAAATCGATTTACACAAATCGATTGAACATTAGATGGGAATTCGAATGAGCCTGCCAAGCAGTAAAAGGAAAAGTTCTCTATAAATTGAACCAGCTCTTACTGGGGTGGTGGTATCCGTGTCTAGCCTTCACCCTCGTTCCTTTTTCATGATTTGGACAGGAATGCCATCCAGATTTTCGCCTCTCGTCACAATTGGAACGTCAAGTTTCAACTCCAGACAAGGAGCGGAGCGTTCCGGAAATGAAGCCTACCGAGCAACGGTCTTTTCTCTATTCCAGGCTTGGAATTAGCATTCTTTTTGTCTAAATATCTTCTTGCGTGTACGGTGGTGCGTCTTCACCCATATCTCTCGCGATATTTCTTTTCTTTCTCGTACTCATTGTGATCATCCCAATTCCATGCATTCCTCCATAATCTAAACTGCTCACTAAATCTTTAGCAAATTTTATCCAGTGTCCCAACAACTCAATCCATTCTCTTTTCCCTCCATCGTAGAGCCTGGTCAAATATCTGATTCTCGCAAAGTATCGTTGTGTCAATTTATATTGTGCATCATCCCATACCCGGCGACCACTTGCAAAAGCACAAGCTAGATTTAGTAGTCCCGCGCAAGTTATCGCATACGAGGATGTCCCTGGATTCTGATGAATTCCTGAAATGGTTTCTTGGCAGCTTTCAACATTTCCTGAGATGAATTCGATATGAGCTTGCGATATCACGTTGATTTCTTTTTGGTCCTCAGTATCGATCAGTTGAGTGAGTTGATCGGGGACCAAGATATACATCAACGCCATTTCTAAATGATTCAGTATATTACTGAGGCGAATGACCGGATGGGAAAGTTCTATCTGCCATTCCAATTTGACTCTATGTATGAGTGCTCGCATTCCCCGATTGAACTTCAAAGGGTCAATTCGCCGGTCTGCTGAAATGGTGTGATTTAACTCGTCGATGCGTAACTGATTCTGCATCAGGCTAACATGCTTCTCTGTTGCCTTCATCAAAATATTAAACATTCGTACTCTGATGTTTTTGTCTTTTAGGTTCATTTCGCTGTCCTCGATCATCATAATATACTCGTTAATGCTCTGTCGTTGTACAGTCGAATCTGACCAAAAGACCGCTGCATACTCTGCAGTCTTTATCAGTTTGTTCCCAATTTGCAAGATTTTTTTTTCTTCTGGTGTACAATTCACTGAATTTTTGAGCCATTCCACATCATCTAAGAACGACTTGGATTCGTTTCCCAATGGTGAGACATTCACTCGCCCTGTGATGTCATTTCTACCCCATACATATTCATCTTCGACTTTGATCCGACACTAGATCTCATAGTCCGATAGTACAATACCTTATGACCATATGGCCGGACCGCATGCTCCCAAAATGATATGGACTAGACATCTTCATAAACAGTCACCGGGATGGGATGCAAGTATTTATAATTTGGAGGTTGTGGATCCCCGTCGAGTTGAGGGTTTTCGATAGATGATGTATAGGTCAGGATCATCTCCATAGTTGGCCAGGGAGTAACTAGCCAATAGCCCAAAGGGCGATTCTTCCATATCGTACCATTAAGCATTGTTTCTATGTATCCCCCGTTAACCTGATCATAAGTCAGAATTTTTTCTACATCTTCTCCGCTTGATTATAGGGTAATCCAACCCATGGCATTCTCGTACGAGTATCCTAGTTCAGCCAAAGATTCCTCTTCAAAATATGGTTCGATTGAGGCAGGCGGGGTCATCATTTTAACCTCTCGGCTGGGTTAATTTCTAGCCAATTCTATAGCATGAACTAATTCGTGTACTATCTATAATTTTTAGCGGTTACTATAATTTATTACAAACTCGTTCTGATAGCAGGATGCTCGAGGGGCTCGGATAATGAACTTACTACAACGGCTATTCGCCAAGATATTGCGTATCGTTCGGCATGGTTCAAATATTTATCTACAATCAATGGAGTGATAAATCAACGTTCAGCATGAGTACGATATTATAGCATGGATTTTCTTTGTCATCGCCCGGATTCCGCTTATTCCAGCGAATGTCTGCAAAGGCCAGCGTGTTCTGATCAGGATACATGTTCTCGTCGGCGTCTACGTCAATCTCCCCTATGTATGGATTTTTGCCTGGCTCAAAGAACGAGAACAAAATGTCATGTTTTTCCAAGAGGACATCATTTAATATCTTATCACGGGCTTTCCTAGTATCCTCAATGTTATAAGCTGGATGTCGAGGAGAAAAGTATTGGAGATTGGGCACGTCGAGTAGGTTTCTTTCGGGTGGTATAGGTTTCCGAGGGGCAAGAAGTAAAGCGTCAAACTGTCATTGAAGTCAATGCTGACTCTAATCCAATAAGTATACAAAAACATTCATCGCATAGCAAGGATCAAGAGTAACTCACCCAAGGTAACATATGACTCGACAACAAATACTGACTTGCAATCGTCAAACTCGGCCGCAAGGCTTTCCACACATGTCCATTCTCCGAATTCCAACTTCCATACATCCCACCCTCTTCATCTCCACTTCTTTCCCAGTCGTCAATAATAATCGCCTCTTTTCTTCCAAACATTGTACCTGTCCTGTCCCATTGTGTCTTTCGTAGTAATGCGAGAATGCGCACATCGGACAGTGTAGATGCAGTCATTGGACGTTCAGTTATTGCATCGAGATTGAGGAGTTCGCGGGTGGTGAAAGAATGAAGACGATTTCTTTGATTTGTCTCAATCGTGTCCCAGTCGCGTCTTTGGTTCGATGGAGTTCTGGATGTTGAGGTGGTGGAAAAAGAGGGGAAGGGGGGGATCAGAGTCGGGCGCGGAGTCAGATCGCTGTGCCCGTCTGCGAAGTCATGATAGCGAAGAGCGAAGGAGGATCGTTTTGCCGGTGGATCTGAGTGCATTTTGGGACCAGTAGCGGAGGACATTTTGCACTGAGACTGGAATTAGAGAATTTCAGCAGAGTGGTAAGTTGATTTGGCCGCGGGTATATTACTTGAGATGAATCTTTTCCTACATACGGTTTCTATGCTTATATTTTCTTTGTTACCTTTGTTTGGCCCCTGGGATTTGGTTGCCGTTTCTTGTTAGGGGCTTTGAGCAGACGCTTCACTAAGGACATGAGGGATTTCTTTGTTTGATTTTTCTTTCTTTCAAATATTCAGCGGAAACCATTATAGTAACCAATTCAGGCGCTCTGAATAGATGCATAGCTACGTTCGCGATGATGAGAAGGTTCATCAACTTCTAAGATCTCTGTTTGAATTGTGGCACAGAAAATACTGTCTTTGTGAATAATTTTCATGAAAGAATTCATGGGAATGAATTGCACAACATATCTAAGACATTCATTCAGTTCATGGTAAACATCATGGCTGATTATTTAAGGACGATGATAGCATCTCATCTCGAGACTGTCAACTTTTGAGTGGAGGCTTTTGAAAAAGCAATGAGAATGCGCGAAAAGTGAGAATCGAAATGAACCACGCGAGCGCTTCTGATATCTTTCAAGACATCAAAAAGGCTCGTCCCAGCATATCAGGCTTAAAATGCATGGTTTATGGTTGGTCTCGTTAGTTGCAAGCCGAGGTTATTGATGCCGAATATCATAACTCATTGTTACAGCGAACTGTAATTCAGATTCCTGGATAATGACGACAATAGAGATGTATTTGTCATCAAGAGACGGCAAGAGTATAAATATAGCACCACGATAGTTATTCACATTATCGATAGCGCAGGCTTCCTGGATACCAGACCCAGAAACACTTCATAGTCTCCCACTGCTATCTGAAAAAAGCCAAATTTTAACGCCTCATTTTCCTCTTCGACGTCGAGCTCAAAGTGGCTCGCACCTGAAAGATACCGATCCAAGCGGGATGTTGACTTTGAAGGATCAATCGGTGGAATATTGAGTGTCTAAACATGCCTTGACTCTTGGCCACACCTAGTGGGCCAGTGTTAATGTGTGACCCCGAACCAGTAATGGTTAATGATAAAAGAGATTCATTAAGAAAATAGGAGTCAGCGGATCGCTATATAAGGCTCTTCAAAGACACTAGACTTAGCTCAATATCTACCTATCGCAATAACGAATCAAAATCTCAGGGGTATGTGTATATGTTCAAGTCATATGCCTATATTGAAGAGCATTTGCAGCTATACGGTGTACGAAGACCCTCTGTTTGTTCTCGATTCATTGAGCTCCTGTCGAGCTACAACAAGAATTCTTCAGGCCCTAGACCCGGTGATATTACCCGCTGTCATGAAGGTTTTTTCATCGCAGCCCAACTCAAATGACAGCCACAAGAAATCGAAACCATCAACAACATAATACCCACAGGTCACAACTGATAAAAGCTGTATTTAGTCCAGTGAAACTGAAAATCACAAGACTTTTGCTTCTGTTTCTTTTTTTTCCAAAAGATGGTAGACCCCTTCTTGCATTCGCTTGGATTCTTTACTTTGCCGGTACGGGAATAGAAAGTGGGCAAAAGTCTGATGATTAATATAGAGATTGAATTGAAAGTCAAACCGGGATAGCTAGCCTAGACGGCGCGAGGTGGAGGCTTACTAATACTTAATCAACTTACTAAATACACAAAGTACGAGATTAATTTCATGTGTGAACTCTATTTTAATGAAAGTGAATTTTGTCAAGATCCAAGATGTTAGTGGGATATATAAAGTAAGCAATACTTGAGGAGTGTATCACACATCACGACTGACATTGACCTTCCCCACATTCAAGGGATGTCTTTGGCTGGAATCAAGAGGCGAGGCGGAATAATGAGGTACAGATAGCTCAAAAAACTGTTTATCAAATGTAAAATAGAAGTGTTCCGAGAGTTTGAGGGCAACAAAGAATATTGAATGTAAGGATAAACAATGACAACGATATCAAGGAAATCCGAAAATGTTAGAAATAAATGACGATTACGAATTCTGACAAACATTCTCCGCCTTCTTAATCTCTCTGCATTGAAGCAAGAGGCATCAGTATAAATTCAAGAGAGAGTGATCTACAAGAAAACATAGTATCTCAACCCTCACCTTTTATCTAATACTCTGTTTTGGGACTGAGGAATAAAACTTGAGACAGTAACTTGATATTTATATAAGAGTGAAACACAAACGGGGAAGAGAAGATGTAAGAGTGCTTTTTCATGTTTGGAAATGGTGGGGCTATGGAAGTAGTGGTATTGTAGAGGTGTACCTGATATTTATTCATGGGCGAGTAACTAGAGAGTATTTTTGGAATCAGGATATCATGATTCACTCTCACTCTCACTGTCTTTTTCTCGAAATATAAAAGTCACCAAGATCTTTGATCTTCAAGAAAGAAAAACAAACATACGAGAAAGCGTCTATACAGAAGGAGGAAATGGGCAGACATCGAGAGTTCGACTAGAAGTGAGTTTTATCAATGAGAATAGATTGTTGGGTAGGTAGAGTGTACAGAGCGAGGTAAATAAGGGTTGAGTAGTATTAATCATTCGCTGTTTTTGCCGAATGTTAGTTGTGAGATAAGATCTGGTTTTGACAACATTAGAAATCTCTGAGATGTAATAGTCAAGAGATCCTGTAACACTTCGACAACAACGGTTCAAAATTACCGTCAATCTCAAAGTTGTAGTTTTTACCACCCAAGAGAATGAAACCTCCCTATCTTGGTGAATATCTTGGCAGACTATCTCAGCAGACCAGACTAAGACTTTCGGCCCAGATTTACTCTTACCTATGGCCTCCCATTCCAACGGTCAAACTTTGATACCAGACCAATAGTCAAACATAAGAGATTTATATAGACTAGAGCGAAGAATATCTAGCCGAATGACCGGAATTATACTATATTCGTACAATATCCCCCTACCCTATTCTCAGATGCCGGCTTCTCCTCCACCTCACTCTTCCCACCACCTATATAAACCCTACCGACTCCAACCCCAATCCATAAGCACCCACGAATGAAACACTGGCCATAGATATGTGCGATGAGGAAACTTCCACGCTGAAACTTGCTTTCCTTTGGATATCCTTCTTTGAGGATAGAAGTCCGTATGTTTATTGAGATGAAAAATCGGTATGAGAAGAATGATATAAATAGGTGGAAGAAATGACAACGAAAAAAGTTATGAAATTCGTAAAGGGAATGACGGCATTGGATGATGATAGTGACAGCGATAGAACTACGTACCTAATAACGACACTAAGATTCCCGAGGAAAGATATATATCTAAAACCACCCAACGCAATGCGAAGAATTGAACTAACTTCGAAGTACGATAGATTTGATGTTCGGTTGAGGGAGCTAGAATTTTTACTCCTGAGCTAGTTCTACCAAAGGGTTCAAAAATTGTATATCGAGTTGAATGTTAAGTGTCGGAGATTTATATAAAGACTGTGTTGGGGAGAAATCCAAGGGGAGATGTATAGGGAGTGGGGTGTTATTCACTTCCCCCTCTTTCAAGAATTTTCGTTCGCGTAGCTCTCTCGTTCCACTACAACCCTTTGTCATTCTATCCCAATAATCTATATAAACGCCTCTGTAGAATTTAAAAATTGATGTGCTGAATGGATGAATAGAGTATATTCCAATTAAAATTAGGAAGTAGATCTCACGGAGTGTTGACAAACTTGCGTGAATTCGATCCAAACTAAATCTACCGAGAAAATACCATAGTGATTGAATGAAACTACTGTGGTGAGATGATATATAGATAACATGATAACAAAACAAGGAGAAAAACATGATAGCAATTCTTGAACATGAGGCTTCACGACAACAACAACAGCAATAATACTAACTGACGATGTTCATAAGGTTACCTACCCCATCGTCATCTTTCTTTCCTCCTTGAAAAAAAAAACACGTCAAAAATAGCCCCATTGTCCCCGCCCCACCCCCATCACCAACACCAAGAGCAAAGCAAACTTCCTCGCCCTTTACCCTAACATTATCAGCGTCTGCAATATCCATATACCGAGTTAGAAACCCAGAGTAATTTAGCTTTTAATACAAACCCAGGAGAAAAGAAGGAGGATAGGAGATTAAGAGAAACAGTGCATCGAAAAATATCCGTACTCTCTCGCTACTCCTCTCTCTCCATCACATTGCATCCCGTCTACTCCACTATACCCCATGCCAAATTCTCATTTTTTCGTCTCCAATCCCTATTTTTCCAGTCTCCTTATATATAAAGTCCCAGAACATCCTCTAAAAATCCCATGATACACATTACCGGAATTCTTCACAAGTTCTTTCAGGAGAGCTTACTCCACCTCCAAAGTCTTTGGAAGTTTTGACATGCAGAATTGCGGGTTGGGGATGCTTTTGGAAGTGAGTGAAAGAAGGAATAAACACGAGAATGAAATTGATCGAGTGAGGAAAATGAGATGATAAGGAACAAGCAACGAAAAATTCAGAAAATAGAATATGACAACGATGATAGAAATAAGTAGTAACAATACCCTCTCTAAATACTCTTTGAATTTAATATTATCAAATATCTCAATTCCACATCATGACTTCATCTTATAAAACTCAGGCGCATATTCCACCAGCCACCCCTTCTCAATCTTACTCAAATCCCTAATATAAACTTTTCCACCCACCTCCACCACCTCACTAAAAACAACCCATTCACACTTCCGATTAAACATCAAACTACTCGGATGAGCATGAAGTATCGTTCCTCCCCCCACATTTCTAAACGTTCCATCTGGCTGCATTTTTGCGGCATGTGCAAAATATCCCGTCGTGAGACATCTACGTATTTGTTCGCTTTTATCTGGACCTCCTACTGAGAGCATGTTCGGGTTTGATGATGATGAAAGAGTTTCATCTACTGAAATGCCGAAACGTTCGAGGTAGCGTTTAAGTTGGGCGCGAATACTGATTGCTTTTGAGAGGGCTTTGAAATTGAGA